TATGACAAGGTGCTCAACGTCACTATCACGAGGGAAATGCAAATCGAAACTGCAATGAGGTACCATCTCACACCGACTAATATTAAGATGGCTATTGCCAAAAACACAATAGGTAACAAGTATGGGTGAGGAAGTGGAGAAAAGGGAACCCTTACACACTGCGGGTGGGAGTGTAAATTGGTACAGTCATATAAAGCACAATATAAGTTGCTTCAAAAAATTAAAAATAAAATTGCCATATGACTCAGCAATCTATCTTCTGGATATATACATGAAGAAAATAAAATCAGTCCCTTGTAGAGATATCTTCACTCCCATGTTAATTGAAGCATTATTCACAATAGCCAAGATATGGAAACAACCTGAGTGTCCACTGATGAATAATTGGATATATATTCCATATATAGTGTATATATATGACATATATAGTACATACACATTATACATATTGCATATATAGTGCATATATCATATTTATTACATATACAGTGCATATATAGTGCATATATATTATATATTGCATACATAAAACATATATATCATATATTGCACATATAGTACATATATATTACATACGTACTACATATATATGCACAGTGGAATATTATTTAGCCTTAAAAAAGGGGATCTTGCTATTCGTGATAGCATGGAGGAAGCTGGGGAACACTGCTAAGTAAAGAAATTCAGATACAAACATACAAATGCAATTTGGTTTCTCTTATACATAGAATTTGAAAATAAGCAAGCATCATGTTGTACAAGCTTAAATATATGTAATTACAAATCGAAAAATAAAGAATTGTTAAAAGAAATGTATAAACAAAAAGATATGAGATTAAGAACATGAGTGAACATTCACTCAGAAACCAGCAAGATAGAAGAATGGCTGAATGAACTTTTTGAGGTTCCACCTATTAGTAGAAGGATAGTTTAGCAGACTTCTGGATCTTATGCTTTGGTTTTAACAATTATCCTATAAAATTAGTTTTATATTTATTTCTATCCTATTGATGGAAAAAGTCTTAGCATGGGAATTATTTAAAAAGTCTCCCAAGGCGACATTCAAGTTAATAGTTCAGCTTGAACTATAGTTTTATTAAGTTCAGCTCAGTCCAACAACCTTTAATGCAACATTTATTGGTAGTTGCCACAGCAGATTCAGAAATATATGGTCTGGTCTAGTAGAATACACGAGATGCAGACACGCAAAGAAAAGGAAACTCTACAATGACAAGCAAAGCCAAGCAAGTGCCTTTGAAGAAGGCATAAAGTGCACTGAGAATTCTAAGATAACACGTCTTTTCCGTGGAGAGTGTCATGTGAGATAAATCTGTAGGAAAAATTAGACAATGGATAGATGGAGACAGAGTTAGAGAAGGAAAAACGGCAAAAGTGATAATGCATGGTACACACCCGGGGAACTTCCGGAAGCTCATCTGGTGAGAGCATTAAAGAGGCAGGGTAGACAGGGTGAGAAAGTGCTTGAGGCCACATGGCAATGGCCTTGAAGACCATGGAGAAGAGACTCTATAATGTGATGGGGAAGCAGCTGAAGACTTTACTTCTTTGTTTATTTGTTTAGTCACTTTTATCCTTTTTTTTTTTTTCTTTTTTTGGCAGAGTCTCCCTTTGTTCCACCCAGGCAATGGCGCGATCTTGGCTCACTGCTACCTCTGCCTCCTGGGTTCAATCGATTGTCCTGCCTCAGCCTCCTAAGTAGCTGGGATTACAGGCGCACGCCACCACACCCGGCTAATTTTTGTATTTGTACTAGAGGTGGGGTTTCACCATGTTGGCCAGGCTGGTCTCAAACTCCTGACTTCAGGTAATCTGCCTGCCTCGGCCTCCCAAAGTGCTGAGATTATAGGCGTCAGCTACTGCACCCAGCCCTGAGCTGAAGACTTTAGATCCCATTATCAAGTTTGTTGGTTAACTTATTCCTTTTTAAAAACATAATGTTTCTGCAATAGGAGATAGCTTTTAGAAAAAAAATGACAAAACTTACTGATAATGACACATATTTTCTACATCTCTCCATGAGAATATCTGATTCTAGCAGTGAAGAAACTTGTCTGGAGCAAAATTTGTATCTTTAAGTTTTATCAAATACACACTCTCCCTGACGAGTCAATTTCTGAAGAATACACTGAAATATGCAAATTCTCCTGATTATGATAATTTCAAACCTCTATGCAGACATCTATGAACAACAGCAAAAAATTATCTCTAATATGAATGGTGTACACCGCAATTACATCTCAGTCCCAGCTTACCCAACCTCCTGCTTCAAAACTTGATGTATTCTCTAAAGGAAAAAGAGGCTTACATTTCATATTTTTAAAGTTTTGCATGCAGCCTCAAGTCACTGATTGATAAAATAACTTTTATCCAACAATATGACAGACGTCCATTTTATAATAAATGTTCACTTGAATTAACCCCTCTATTGTACCATTTTGCTCTAGGTTTATATGCAAACAGAAACTAGTGATTACGTCTCAACAGCAACACTCTGACAACAAACTCTACGAATAAGAAATATTTCAAAGTTAATTGTTTAACTCCAACAAAAGCAGAAAACCAAAAAACATTCAACCAGACAAAGAACAACTAAAATAAGTGTAAATAATATAAGCGTAAGCTACTTCCCTCTAAAACAGAAAGGGAATAATAGGAGAAATTAGCAGTTTCTCTGCCCTCTAGTGGCAATAAAATTAACTGCAGCATTTACTAAAGCAATGCATAATAAAATGTCCCTGTTATGAAATCAGATATTTTTCCCGTGCCAAAATGTCTGTAATAAAAATCCTGATTGTTGCATGCCAAATTTCAAGACTGTTGGACTTTTTCCCCCATAATAAACTTTTACATAGGCTATTTTACAAATAAAATTGTATTTTTTTCTGTTTCACCTTGCTTTTATATATTCAGTAAGCTAACCATTTAATTCCAACATTATTTCATAAAACTACATATAAATTGATGTCCAAGGAAGAAGCTACCTTGGTTTATAAAAAAAAGTATTCAAAAATTTTCCAAGGAATTTAAAACTATTCTTTTTAAAATCAATTCTATCAATATATGGATTTCTAGAGTAGAATTCCCATCAGAAATATTCAACTAGTTTAAAATACTAGTACACTGATGTTGAACATTTTAAGTATTTTATATTTCCCAAAGCAAGGGCTTTTAATTATACAGCCAATCTTACTTTGGGATGAATTTCATCCTCAATTTCAGAACTTCTTGGAATAGAAAATGTAGCGTGTGTGTGTCTGTGTGTGTGTGTACATATATTCCTTTTTCAGTAACATTACTGAAAAAGGTTTGGAAAAAGATAACATTTTGTTGACGTTTATTTATAATTTATTTTCACTGCAAATGCATTATTTGTTCCTAGTGTCAAACAAATTTTTAAATAAACAACTTGGGATGCATGTTGGCACACACATCTTTCTAACCTCCTCTGTGGTGGAGTCATCTATTCACACCATGAATAACTACATGAAAATTACTGTTGCAATTTTTAAATAAATGTCGTTTCCTGGAAGGCTAAAAGTGTTATTTTTTTTCCCACCAATGAAACATATAGAGAAATAAGCAAAAGGTATAGTCTCCTGTCATAAATCGTACAGTCAAGAACACCCTAGGTCCATTAATGCAGAATAATTAAATGTGATGAAGACAAATCAACGCCCAAGAAATCTGCATTTTATTCTCAGCTTTAAAAGTGTTGTCATCATATTGCCTCCCTGCACATACACTCCCACACACCCCTCCAATCGTAAATAAGAGCGCAGAGTCAGTATCTGTGCTTTATCTAGAACAATTTACACCAGGTGTTGTTACTGTCTTCTAAGTCGCGGCTTGTTAAATTTGACTCAAGGGTTTCCTTTAAGATCTACAAGATTCACCTTGCCTGGAATCCCCAGGTGTCCCCAGCTTTCCATCTGTGCCTCTCAAGTTTGACTGTTGACCGGGTAATCATTAAACACACACGCGCACACACACAGCAGAACAGAACGAATTGTCTTACGCAGAAAGTTTTCGTTTTCTTTCTCTTTTCCTTTCAAGTTTTTTATTTTTATTTCTCGTTTCACCACCTCTCTAAGTGCACCCGAGTTCACCAATTTCTGCCAAGATCTCTTTCTGCCTGTGTCTTCACTTTCTTCACTGAAAGGCAGAAATGGGAAGTAGGCACCCGGTTGGCAGTGGGCAGGGTCCCAGGAGGCAGCCGGCACCTCCCGCTAGGCGATCGCCCCGAGGACGCGGCTCCTTGAAGGACGTGCACCCGGCTGGACCGCCACTAAGAGGGCGGAGGTCGGGGTCCTCTCGGGGACAAAGTTAGGGCGTCCAGGCCTGTCTGTGAAGCCGGCAGGCGGAGGACAATGGGGGCAGGGGTAGGCCTCCAGAAGTGCGCCCTACCCCACCTTTTCCACCTGTTCCCCAACTCTGCGCCTGCCCCACCTACCCCGCCCCACTTCCAGCGCCCGCTCAGACCAGTTCAAGAGACGGAGCTAGTGGGGATCGCCAAGGGGAACAAGGTACTGCCACAGGGAATTTTCTCATGCAGAGGGGAGACCCGCAATCTCGGGCTTTCACCAGTCCCCCATCCACCCCCACCACACACTCGCTTAGTTTAACCAGCAGCGAGGAAGGAGGGGAGACAGAGAGCAGGCAGCCTGGAGATGCCAGGTCCTAGGAGACGTATCAACAGAAGAAGCTTTGCTCTCACACTGGGCTATTTGGGGGAGACAGTATCACCCCCTGCCGCCCAGGTGAAGTACGCCCAAAAGCCTCAGGAAAACCCCTAGTCCCCGGCGTCCTTCTCTTGTTAACCCTCTTTTCCCCATTTGAGAAGCGTAAGTTTACCCGAAAAGCAACTGCAGTAACTTTCCCCAAGGGCAGACAGGTGATGTGGGGGGAGGGGGGAGGAGGAACGAGGGTGCCAGAGAGGTCTTCAACTGAACACAAAATCAACAAGCCAAAGTGTTTCTTACCATGGATTTGGTCTCCGGGCTTCCCTTCGGCGAACTGAAACTGGTCCAGGACGAAGTAGCAAAGTAGCACAACTCCTGCAGCGGCCAGGTCGGCCCTCGGGAACCTCGCCATGCCGCCGCCGCCACCTCCCTACCCCGCCCGCCAGTCCTTCGCCGGTGCTCGGGGGCTCCCGAAGCGATAGGGGCGACCGGGTCAAGCGCTGCGGGTCGGTCTCCGCTGGACCCAAAGGCCTTTGTAAATTTCGCTGGGATTTCACAGCAGGGAGCAGAGGAGGGGAAGACCCGAGAGCCAGCAGGAGCGCAGCCCTCTCCGGACCTCGGGGGTTTTCTTTGCAACTTGCCACCCTCGCAGCCCTCACCCGACACTGAACAAGCCACCTGGGTGCCCGCAGACGGTGACTTCCGAGCCCCCTCGATGCGCTCCACTGGGTTCAAAACAGACCTAATTCCACAGTCTGCTCCGCTGCCAGCTCCAGATCCACTAGGGATGGTCGGCTCCGCAGGAACTTTCCTCGGTCTCGGGATGGCCCCGGCAGGAGGTTTAGGTTTGCAGGAAGGAGGTTGACGCCGAAACCCTTCCGACAAGTTTTGCTTCTCTTCTTCGCCCTACGCAGGGCGCGCGTCCTTTCTCGGAGCCGGAGGAATGGGCAGCTCCAAAGAGCTGAGCCCTGTAAAGGTTCAGGCTGCAGCAGTCTGAGGTCCGAAGCCAGGAAAAAATGTGTGTGCGTGTGTGTGTGTGTGTGTTTAAAGGAAGAAGAAAGAAAAAGGGTGGGGTGGGGGGAGTCTGGCTGGAACCTATCGGGAGCGGGCTCCTCCAGGCTCAGGAGGAGGTGGCCCCAAGCCCCCGCGGAGCCCCAGGAGTTTAGTGGCGGAGGAGGCGCCGCCGTCGCGCTCCTCCGCGCTCCTGCTCCACACTTTGAGGAGGGAAGGCGGCTCGCAATTTGCCAGATCTGCCGCCGCACCCTCCTCCCTCCTCCCTCCGCCCTCCCGTTCGCTCCTCCAGGCTTCTCCCACCTTCCTCCCTGAAACCGGCAGCCCGCACGGACCTGTCCAATGGCTGCACTTTCCTCGGGGCTGGCACAGGAGTCGCCGCCAGCAGAGCGAGCCGGGGGAGCCTAGCAAGGGGGAGGAAGAGAGCCACTCCAGCCCCGCGCGCCCCCGGCAGCCGGCGGCCCCGGAGCGCGGGGAGAGGGGACGAGCCCCGGGAGCTAGCGAGGGAGCGCGGGGCGGTACCTCCGCGCGGCCGGGGCACCATCCCCGCACCCGGCTCGCGCGCCCTGGGCAGCTTCACCAACTGCTCCCCCACCCACCTGGCTCCCAGGCCGCCTTCACGCGCGACTGCGGGGGGCGATTGCGCCCCGCCTCGATACTGGCGGGGGGCGATTGCGCCCCGCCTCGATACTGGCGGGGGTCTCCCTGGGCACTAAAGGGTTAACCACAGCTCCCCCTCCCCCACTTCCCGGAGGCTGGGTCTGGCCTTGGCTGGGGTGTGGAGAAAGCACACCAGAGCCAGTTCTGGGTTACTGACCCTGCGAAGCCCCCTCGGACCCCAGCCCGGCGCGGGAGGGCGGCAGAGGGCAGCGCGCCGCAGCGTGGTCCCCGCAGCCGCCGCGGCTTTGTAAAGGGTCCGCGGGGGCGAAAGCGAGAGTTTAAAGGAACAGGAGGCCCATTGAATTTCCTACTAGGGCTTTCGGGGGCTCTCGCTGCCCGGTTTGTTTTTGTTTTTTCAGCTCGGGGATGTGTTTCCGCGTTAACCCTTGCAGGCCCTTTGGTTAGTTGACATCTTAGTTTGCATACAGTTAATCTTTTTTGAAAGGGATAGATACAAGGAAAAGAAGCCAAGCGCTATTGGTTAAAAGTACAGGATCTAGAGCCCGGACAGTCTGAACCAGAATTTCACCTCCCCCACAAGCAACAATTTACTTTTATCTCTTAGCCTCAGATATCCATCCATCAAATGGAGAGAATTAGAGTAACACCCTTATAAGGTGGTTGCAGTGGATTGGATGAGTTAATCCTGTGTATTTAATAAATGTAGAACATTTCCTACCGCAAAGTACATGGCTTTAAGTGTTTCCTGTAACAAAAGTAAGAGAAGACTTCATTCACATAACAAATTTGGTGTGTTCTAAGTTCAAGGTCCTTTCCACTCCAAGCTCCGAAGAGTCTATGGATGCTGTCAATAGATGTCTCAGCTTGCCACAAAACCCACTGGAAGTGGATTCCAATAATCAATCTACTTGGCAACTGTGGTGCCCAAAGCATGGCTCTCTCATGGGAAACAAGAAATATGTTTCCCCAATCCAATACCCAATTTGCTCTTTATTTCGGAACAACAGATTTACAAACCCAAACATATGTCGTGCCTACACTCTATTATGCCAAGACCCTCGCTCTCTCCTGAGCTTTCCTCCAACAGGTTGATTTCTACTTAGGAAACTCGGTTCTTCTATTTCCGCTTAACCAGGAGTGTTTAAGTTCTATGTAATATTACATCCAAATTTGAGTACCTAGATACATATCTGCTTAAAATCAAGTTTGAAAACTGAGTCTTCTTATCAAAACTTGATTGTGCAGTTGACCCTTGAACAACAGGGGTTTGAACTGGGAGGGTCCACTTTTGCATAGATTCTCTTCCTCCTCTGCCACCCCTAATACAGTAATGCCAACCCCTCCTCTTCCTCCTCCTCTTCAGCTCCCTGGATGTGAAGACGATGAGGATGAAAGCCTCTCTGATGATCCACTTTGACAGTATGTTTTATCTTATGATTTTCCTAACATTTTCTTTTCTCTAGCTTACTTTATTGTAAGAATACAGAATATAATATATAGAACATACAAAATATGTGTTAATCAACTGTTTATATTATCAATAAGGCTTCTAATCAACAGTAGGTCATTAGTAGTTAAGTGTATGGGGAGTTGAAATTACACTTGAATTTTCTACAGTGTGGGGGTCTGTTCCCCTGACCCCCATACTGGGGTCAATTATAGTTTAATTGATGTTGATTCTTTTTGTGCACCCCCAGTGAGGTCATAAATCCACGTGGAAAGCTTCCCGAAATATTCTGCACAACTCCAGCTCCCATCGTATGTAAAATAATGGGGAATCTAGCAGAAACCATTTCAAGAAAGCACCTCTTTTTTTTTTTTTTTTTTAAGTATGGGTTATTTCTCTTACTTTCACAGCAGAAATATAGGTGTTTCCTCTGAGAACAAACAAATCCCCACCTCACCTTGCTATCCTTTTCTTTTTTCTCTTATTATTTTATGTGCAGATTCGTAGTGTTCATTTTTCTTGTTACTTGCAGTCATCAATGCTTTGCCCTCCTGATTGAAACTGTATACTTCCTGTAAGTAGAAATTTAATGCCAATATTTGAAAGGGGGTTAAATGGGCATTCAGGGTCAGTCGGGAAAGACTTTTATATGTTTGGCTACGTCACAGATGTTGCTGAATTGTATTGGTTTACCCCATCTTAATTTTATTCTGAAGAGCTACACACACAGAAATTTCGGAAGTATGGGAGAAGATACAAGTAAACAAAACTCAATCATGCTTGATGAGATTTGCTATTCAGAAATAAGGATGAAAGAGCGGCATTGTATAACAATAAACTCAAGCTTTGATCATTTGCCTGAAATGTTGATGTATAATTATTTGTTAAACTATATTCTGCCTTCACATTGTAGCAAGCAACGAATAAATAAAATGTATGTAGGACAGTATGTTCAGAGTGAAATGGAAAAAGTAGATTACTCATAAAATTCTGGCTAAAGTAACATATTTTGTGGCCTAAATTACTTGGGTTTGCCATATATATTTCATCACAGTAGAAGTGTCTCTTTCCATTTTGTGTGGAAGATGTTACATCTTCCATCTGACATGAGAGAGAGAGGTAGTAACGGCTGGAGGTCTGTTTGAATTTACTGTATACATGGAAAAGGAAATGGTGGTTCTTTCATCCACTCCCTTAATTTTAGCTAATCTCTCCAGGAACAAATGAATCAGGAACCACAAATGAGTAGCACTTAGATTCTTTGTCCATGACAAAGATCTGGAATTCATACGACACTCTCTCCTTTAAAACAATATATCAGAATCATTCTCAACAATGTAGGACTTTGGGCAACTATTAGCATGTGTGCTATCACTGTGGGGATTTCAAAGCTGTTTACAATCCTCATCTCTATCAATCTTCAGAGAGATTTTCACACATTCCAAGTGCAATACTGTCTATAGAAATGTACTTACAATTAATCACCTCATCCCATCTCTGTCTTTACCATTGTTGTGTTTCCTAGGACCTGTCCAAAATTGGAACTTGGCTTACAGGATGCTGAAGAAAACAGCATCCTCACTTGGAAAAAAAATGAGATCCTATACGTGCTGTAGAATACTCAGCATTTATTATAATCTTTTCTTAACTATTCAGAAAATACTTTTTGTCCATTTTAACAGGATTTTTAAAAACTTTCTATAATTGCTGTCAGATGAAGGGAAATTGCTATTAGTGAATTGCTTTTATTCAGTCCAAATATTATGACCTTTCTTTTAGGTCTCAGCATTTCCTCTCCCTCCTCATTTGGTAGGGCTAATTTTTTGACCTCTGGTACGCAATTACAAGACTCATTTGTTCATCTTGGCTGATCTGCTCTCAGAATAAACTGGAATTCTATTGTACTGTTGATGGATATTTCAGCTTTTTGTACTTTATAGTTTTAAGGAGCAAATTTTATCAATCGTGTTTGAATTGAATAAACATTTTTTAAAACTCAACAGCTAACATTCTCTTTTTAACTGGAACATTTAACATACAAGAATATTTAATGCCTTTTACCCTCATATCAATACCACATGTACTATTTAGATGAAATTAACAATATAGGCATATTCATAATGAAATAATATCCTGCATTAAAATGGCATACATGTTTATACGCTCCTTCTGAATCTTAATGAGCTAAACTGGTTTCAACTAGTAAATAGCAAAGCACAAAAAAAAAACATGTAAGTCAAAATACTAGTAAACATATTAATAAAATGGAACACCATATTATCAAAAATGGATAGAAGCATTATGTTACATTTATTTTTAAATGGCAACAATGTATCATAGAAACTTAGACCCTATTCCTAAATTGTACCCAAAGATACATTAAATTCCTGCATTTTGCAAATAAAGGAAAATGGGCAAGTGCTCAGCAAGCACTTAGTGAATTGAAAAATGAAATAAACGTGTTAAAGAATATGCTGTACAATGCAGAGTGAGGGAACACGTGGAAAAGTTCTCAAGTGATTATTGCTTTGAACATAGTTGTCAGCCTTATAGCCTATCCAGATTTTGCAAAACTAATGGAAATATCTAAACTGCAGAAAATTTCACTCTCAAGTATCAGCCCCAGGAGAAATTGTGCTTCTGCGGAGCCCCTAGTGGAGGCTATTAGTCCTGGCACAGATGACAGGGCTTTTTGTGTTGGAGGCAGGAGTGCTCTGATTCACAAAGGCACCACCCCTGCTAGTATCCGCCCTGATGGCTTGTACTGAATTTCCTTTCCTCATCTTGCATTCATCCTGTTTTCTTCTGCCCTAAATTTCTGGTCCTTATATTTCCATCTCTACAAAATTTTTGTTGAGATATAATTTATATAACTTAAGATTCACCTTTTTAAAGTGTATACAATTCAGTGTTTTTTAGTATGCCCACAAGATGGTAAAATCAAGATTACCATCT